AGATTTATATTAATATCTTAAAAAATATTTTGGTCTTGAAACCAAACCATTATTTGTACTAATGAAAATCTTAAGTGACATTTATCTCATCCATTGAAATTAAGATAGATAGTAAGGTTTGAGAGAATTGGACATTATCTAATTACCACCTAACTAGAAAAGATCTGAATCTAGGAATACTAGGGCTTCCCATAATACATCCTTACACCTTCATCCATAAGATTACTTTCATCTATAAACTAAGCTAATATTTTGATAATAACTATCAATAAGAATTAAGAAGAAAGAGAAATAAAACATAGTTATGAAAATCATAAATCTACTATTTCCCTATAAACTTGCTAATGTTACTTCCAACATTTCACATCCATATCTCTCAACCGTCCATCCTCTATGTGATTCATTGCATCTCAAAATATTTCCAAATGACTCAATTCTCATTAACATACTGTAACGCAATATATAGTGGATCAAATAGGAGTTTCCATAAAATTTTCCAAAAATAACCATGAAAGTTACAGGCATTGGCATTAGCTTATGAAAATACATCGATTCTCTCACAAATTGTGGGGTATTTTTAAAACAGATAAAAAATGGCAACAAATCAAGCTGTGATGTCAAAATTTCCCAACTTGGTTCGATCCAACAAGCAATATTATATAAACAAAAGAATAAAAAAGAAAGCATTATTTACATGAATTTTAAGCTGACAGTTGAGAGCTCCATATCTTAGTCAGATTGCAGGAAGCTTTCATATTCTGTTCCCTTGAGAGCTTTCGAGACCGCATCCCAGTTCTCAATCTGTTCAGATAATGGCCTTGTGTGAATCTTCACTTGACGACTCTTTAGTTTTCTCTGAGGCACTCTTAAGAACTCAAGAACTTCCTTCAATTTCTGAGAAGAAAACAAATAGAATGGAAATAAGCTAAGGTAATTGTCATCATATTAAATGGGTTATTTGCACTTTGGTACCCTAAAGTTGACACATTTTTTAACTTTGATATCAGCAAACTTTTTCTTTCGACAATTTGATACCCCAAAGTTTATACCTTTTTCAACTTTGACAGCCCAAGGTTTTTTCCAAGACTTTGATGCCCCAAAGTTTACACCTTTTAACTTTGATATCCCAAACAAAGCATTGTTTTTGACACTTTGATACCCCAATGTTCTAGGCATCAGGTTAAGAAAATGTGTAATGTTTGGGGTATCAAAGCGTTAGAAAACAAAAAACTTTGGCATATCAAAGTTAAAGGTTTAAGCTTTGGGGTATCAAACAGTCACATAAAGGCTTTGTGGTATCAGAGTGACAAAAGATGTAAGTAGGGTGCCGAAGTAGAAATAACCCTACCAAAAGCCAAGAGAACTCACAGTACGGTTATGAGCAAGATCCTCATAGTAGAGAACAATATGGCGGTTGCCCTTGAAGTATTTTAAGGCGTCGATGGTCCACTTATCAGCTTGTTTCAAAGTTGGAATTAATAGTGACTCATTGATCTTTGGCTTATATCTTGCTAGTACATCAGCCTGTATGACATTATAAACTACAGCCTTAGGGGATCACCATAAAAATTAAGCATCAATGCCATAGCTATTCAATAGAGAAAGAACATACGTCATCTTTGGAGTGGACATGAGCTTTGTGGGTCCCGTTTAGTTGCTTAGTGTCTCGGTCATGATTATTTGCAAGTATGGAGACCCACCGGCGAAGGAGATTTCTTCTGAAGAGAAATATTGCAGAGACCCCTCTCTTATCGAAATATGAAACTATGTCATCGTGGTTTTGCAGGAGACCCTGAAATGGCAACACAACTGAAATCAATCTGAAAAACTGCAGCCAATTTATAAGCCAAATTTAGAGAGTGGGTCTTCCACTGATAATTGTAGATAAAATCTCCATAAGAATGATTTTGTCATTTCATATAAGATTGTTCAACGTCTGTTTCTAGTTAGAATCCTGCTCCATATATATTATCCTTAGATGTGTTTGCTAGGCAAACATTCTTTCTCATAAACTACTTTACCATACTTAGCAGGATCTATCAGGTTGAATGTCACTGTACTATTTTGAAAAAGGGTTTTCCCAAATATAGCTCCTCTTAAAGTCTGTTCCACTGCACCAAAACTCCAAAATTCTGAAGCTCTGCTGAAGGACAAATTATAGTAGGTTTAAAGTTACCCTTTAAATCATCATAATTTGTATTTT